CAAGATGAGGCCATAAAAGCAATTAATCGGCTCAAGAACAATAAAGCAGCAGGAGCCGATGGGTTACCAGCCGAACTATTCAAGACTGATGGCCAGTTGCTGGTCAGCTGCATGCACCAGTTGATTAGTACAATTTGGCTAGAGGAATGCATGCCCAATAATTGGAACCTCATCATCCTGTGTTCCGTGCACAAAAAGTAGACAAGACGATATGTGCCAACTATAGAGGAATAGGTCTCCTTCCCATCGCATACAAAGTGCTATCCAGTGTGCTGTGTGAACGACTGAAGCCAATGGTCAATGACATCATTGGACCATATCAATGCTGCTTCAGACCTGGCAAATCCACCATTGGCCAGATTTTCACTCTAAAAATCACTCCAAATCCTGGAAAAGACCCACGAAAAACACATCGACACATACCACCTATTTGTCGACTATAAAGCTGCATTCGACAGCCCTATCCGTTCAGAGGTGTTTAAAGCCATGTCTACGTTCGGCATTCCTACAAAATTAATACGGCTATGCAGGATAGCTTTAAGTGGCACAAGGTCAGCAGTTAAAGTAGGAAAGGACCTATCGGAGCCCTTCAATACCGAACGAGTATTCAGACAAGGTGACAGTTTGTCGTGTGATCTTTTTAACATCCTGCTGGAAAAGGTCATACGAGACGCAAAGGTGAACAGAATTTGCACTCTGTACACCAAACAACACATTTTACTCGCCTACGCCGATGACATCGACATAATGGGTCGAACATTGCGAGCGGTAACATCCACCTTTGAACAAATTGAAGAGGAGTCTCCCAAAGTGGGTCTGGCAGTAAACGGCGAGAAGACCAAGCTGATGGTAATAACAGCAAGACGTCCAGTAGACTCGGACAAACTGTGGAACTTGAGAACTACAGCTTCGAGGCAGTGAAAGACTTTATATACCTTGGTACCGCCATAAATAAAACGAATAATATCAGTTTCGAAATTCGGTGAAGGATTGTGATGGCCAACCGATGCTACTATGGTCTAAGTAAGCAGTTTAGAAACAAGGCCACCTCCCGCCAGACCAAACTCACACTCTACAAGACGCTGATACTACCCGTGCTATTATATGGATCTGAAGCATGGTTACTTGCGTAAGCAAATAAGGCAGCTCTTGGGGTGTTTGAAAGAAAAATTCTCTGAAAGATCTACGGGCCGATTTGCGTCGACGGTGAATATCGGCATCGAATGAACCATGAGCTTTACAATTTATACGCGGACATCGACATAGTCAGTCGTATTGAGCTGCAGCGACTACGGTGGATAGGCCATGTTGTGCGAATGAATGAGAATGCCCCAGCTCAAAAGGCATATAAAAGCGAGGCATATAAAAACGATATTTTTGAAAAGGATCCATACAAGGCGTGGATTTTTTAAAGAATATTTTTGAAAAGGATCCATACAAGGCGTGGATTTTTTAAAGAATATTTTTGAAAAGGATCCATACAAGGCGTGGATTTTTTGAAGAATATTTTTGAAAAGGATCCATACAAGGCGTGGATTTTTTAAAGAATATTTTTGAAAAGGATCATTCAACAAGGCGTGGATTTTTTAAAGAATATTTTTGAAAAGGATCATCCAACAAGGCGTGGATTTTTTAAAGAATATTTTTGAAAAGGATCAACAGAAGGCGTGGATTTTTAAAGGAATGTTATTGAAAAGGACTAACACAAGGCACGGATTTTTTAAAGAATATTTTTGAAAAGGATCCATACAAGGCGTGGATTTTTTAAAGAATATTTTTGAAAAGGATCCATACAAGGCGTGGATTTTTTAAAGAATATTTTTGAAAAGGATCCATACAAGGCGTGGATTTTTTAAAGAATATTTTTGAAAAGGATCCATACAAGGCGTGGATTTTTTAAAGAATATTTTTGAAAAGGATCCATACAAGGCGTGGATTTTTTAAAGAATATTTTTGAAAAGGATCCATACAAGGCGTGGATTTTTTAAAGAATATTTTTGAAAAGGATCCATACAAGGCGTGGATTTTTTAAAGAATATTTTTGAAAAGGATCCATACAAGGCGTGGATTTTTTAAAGAATATTTTTGAAAAGGATCCATACAAGGCGTGGATTTTTTAAAGAATATTTTTGAAAAGGATCCATACAAGGCGTGGATTTTTTAAAGAATATTTTTGAAAAGGATCCATACAAGGCGTGGATTTTTTAAAGAATATTTTTGAAAAGGATCCATACAAGGCGTGGATTTTTTAAAGAATATTTTTGAAAAGGATCCATACAAGGCGTGGATTTTTTAAAGAATATTTTTGAAAAGGATCCATACAAGGCGTGGATTTTTTAAAGAATATTTTTGAAAAGGATCCATACAAGGCGTGGATTTTTTAAAGAATATTTTTGAAAAGGATCCATACAAGGCGTGGATTTTTTAAAGAATATTTTTGAAAAGGATCCATACAAGGCGTGGATTTTTTAAAGAATATTTTTGAAAAGGATCCATACAAGGCGTGGATTTTTTAAAGAATATTTTTGAAAAGGATCCATACAAGGCGTGGATTTTTTAAAGAATATTTTTGAAAAGGATCCATACAAGGCGTGGATTTTTTAAAGAATATTTTTGAAAAGGATCCATACAAGGCGTGGATTTTTTAAAGAATATTTTTGAAAAGGATCCATACAAGGCGTGGATTTTTTAAAGAATATTTTTGAAAAGGATCCATACAAGGCGTGGATTTTTTAAAGAATATTTTTGAAAAGGATCCATACAAGGCGTGGATTTTTTAAAGAATATTTTTGAAAAGGATCCATACAAGGCGTGGATTTTTTAAAGAATATTTTTGAAAAGGATCCATACAAGGCGTGGATTTTTTAAAGAATATTTTTGAAAAGGATCCATACAAGGCGTGGATTTTTTAAAGAATATTTTTGAAAAGGATCCATACAAGGCGTGGATTTTTTAAAGAATATTTTTGAAAAGGATCCATACAAGGCGTGGATTTTTTAAAGAATATTTTTGAAAAGGATCCACACAAGGCGTGGATTTTTTTAAAGAATATTTCTGAAAAGGATCCATACAAGGCGTGGATTTTTTAAAGAATATTTTTGAAAAGGATCCATACAAGGCGTGGATTTTTTAAAGAATATTTTTGAAAAGGATCCATACAAGGCGTGGATTTTTTAAAGAATATTTTTGAAAAGGATCCATACAAGGCGTGGATTTTTTAAAGAATATTTTTGAAAAGGATCCATACAAGGCGTGGATTTTTTAAAGAATATTTTTGAAAAGGATCCATACAAGGCGTGGATTTTTTAAAGAATATTTTTGAAAAGGATCCATACAAGGCGTGGATTTTTTAAAGAATATTTTTGAAAAGGATCCATACAAGGCGTGGATTTTTTAAAGAATATTTTTGAAAAGGATCCATACAAGGCGTGGATTTTTTAAAGAATATTTTTGAAAAGGATCCATACAAGGCGTGGATTTTTTAAAGAATATTTTTGAAAAGGATCCATACAAGGCGTGGATTTTTTAAAGAATATTTTTGAAAAGGATCCATACAAGGCGTGGATTTTTTAAAGAATATTTTTGAAAAGGATCCATACAATGCGTGGATTTTTTAAAGAATATTTTTGAAAAGGATCCATACAATGCGTGGATTTTTTAAAGAATATTTTATAAAACCCATTATAAAATAGTATACTAAATTTGAATTTTTCGCTTTTATTTATTTGAAAACATAATACTTTCGTGTTGTTGTTTTTATTTGAATTATTTGACAACTTTACATCTTAACATCTTAAATACTAAGTAAAGCCCGTATAAAGTCTCCATCCATAGTTTATAAAATAGTATTCTTTTTTAGAAAAACAAAAATTATCAGAATTATAAATTGCTCCTTTAAATTGATTGCTGTAATAATTTTGAAAACAAAAATAATATTTTTTAATAATATTTCGTTATCTAAATTTCAATAGCCTTTTTAAATTGACTATATAAAAATAGTTTTTTTCAATTTTTTTGTATTTTAGCAAAAATCTCATATCATTCCATGCTATAGCATCAGGCATCTTAGTAACAAGTAGAAAAGCATCAAATATTTTTGTTTTCATTTGAATTTCTAACTAGCAGTTGGTAGCTCCGCATCATTCAGTCCAATCTCCATTAGGATCACCATCCTCATCGCCTTCCTCGAAATCACGAATATTAAAGTCCTCATTAAATAAATCTTCACCCTCCGAGGACTCTGAATGTCATCTGGGTGCATTAATGTGTGTGGGTATTGTAATGAAACCCTTTGGGGGTCTTGGCATACGTATTGTTGTTGTTGTTCCTGCGGTTCCAGATGCTGATGCCGCGGAGACATTGGGTAATAGTTGTTCATTTAACGATCCACTGCCATCCTGACTGAGACAATCACAACAAATATTATCACAACGTATTAACATGATGAGCCCAGCTACAATCCAGAAAACAATTGCCGGCCAGGCATATTGAGCACACGAAGCGAACAGTATACAGCCAATAAATATGGCTGAACAACAAATGACGGGACTGACATTCACCACACTGCCTGTGTATTTAGGTATCAGCGGCATCATGAGACTAATTATGAAGACACCTGGAAAGAAAAAACATAATATCATAATTTTTTAAAGAAAAAATTTTAGGGACCCGTAAAAGGCGTGGATTTTTTAAAGAATATTTTTTCAGGGTCCCATACAAGGCGTGGATTTTTTAAAGAATATTTTTTTCAGGGTTCCATACAAGGCGTGGATTTTTTAAAGAATATTTTTTTCAGGGTCCCATACAAGGCGTGGATTTTTTAAGGAATATTTTTTCAGGACCCATACAAGACGTGGATTTTTTAAAGAATATTTTTTCAGGGACCATAAAGGAGTTGATTTTTATCAAAGTGTGGATTTTTCAAGGACCATAAAGGAGTGGATTTTTACCAAAGTGTTGATTTTTCAAGGACCATAAAGGCGCGGGTTTTTACCAAAGTGTTGATTTTTCAAGGACCATAAAGGCGCGGATTTTTATCAAAGTGTGGATTTTTCAAGGACCATAAAGGCGCGGATTTTTATCAAAGTGTGGATTTTTCAAGGACCATAAAGGCGCGGATTTTTATCAAAGTGTGGATTTTTCAAGGCGCGGATTTGTATCAAAGTATGGATTTTTCAAGGACTATCAAGGCGTGGAATTTTCACGGGCTATATAAGCGCGGATTTTTAAAAAAATATTTTTTTAAAGACTATAAAGAAAATAAAGTTTATCTCGTTTACTCACCTATAGATCCCGTCAATGCCGCCGGTGCCCAATGCATAAAAATACCCGCCAAACTCAAAGCAATACCCAAAAACACAACCACAATGGCGAATATGGTAACACGCCACGACGAAACTGTGGGTATTCGAGCCGTCCTATCTAATGGACCGGCTGTGGCCACCTTGACCTTTTGACGATATTCATCAACGATGGCATCAATATCCGTAGAAGTATCCGAGTCGCTATTATCAAACTTGTCAGGATATTCAAAATCCGAAGGCTAAAAATCCAATAAAGTTAATATTTTTAGGATAGGAAATCCATATAACCTACCGGAGGTTCTCCATCTGATAGTATTGTGGACTCCACATCTTTTGTTTCTCTCTGAGGGCATGGTGATGTGGGCTCACCCAGTAGTAGCCATTCCTTTTCTACTTCCTGTTTATTTTTTGATTTAGCTTTGGGTTTTTTATTTGGAGCCTGTTTGCCAACACTCAGATTCCATAGGCTGCGCTTGAGGCGTGTGGATGATGAGCTATGGGTAATTGGTTCCGTGTTCAAGCGGCTATACGATAATGAAGAATCTGTGTCTAGAATAGAAATAAAAATTTTCTAGATGTTTTCCTATTTCAATAATAAATACATTTTGCGGACTTACTACACTGTAATATAAATTTCGGACGGAATGGCGTATAGAGCAAATAGAAAGCTCGGAAGAAAACGGCACACAAATGACTGGCGGCCAGCATATAGGAGAGATTTTGCAAAGGGCAAGCAAATGCCAGCATAGCACAAAGACTTCCTATTCTCAAAGGAGGAAAAAATAATTTCAGGTTAGAAATATATTTTAATATTTAGTTTTTCTCTTACCCGCTATAAAAACCGCCAATACTGGATTACCACTTTCCGAACTTTCATACGATATCTGCTTCGTTAAGATTCTCCATTCGGATGTTGCAAAACGCACTATAATGCGATATAATTCCGGAAATAATTCCAAAAAGGCACCGGTTACTGTTAACATTAGCATACAGGCAGCTGCGGGTACTAATTTATGGAAATTATTTTCATCTAATATATGAAATAATGGGACGGCTGCATATTCCTCTATGGGTCTGAGGAGAAAAAGGAGTGTTTTTATGAAATTATTTTTTTTTGAAGTCCAACTTACTTGTAATGTAATATTGTGGTTAAACAACCGGAAGCCAATAGCAGTGATATTGTCACAAACAATATCATAAATAATCCGGTAAATCGTTTCCATCCGGTTTTTGGGCTTGGACATTCCACTGGGAAGGAAAACGTCAATAAGGCAGTGGCGGTAAGTAACTGAATAGGTTGGAGAAACAAATTAATTTTAATAATATTTTTCATTTATTGAAGATTAGAAAAAGTTCTATAAACTAACGTGAACAGATAAAAGCCATCTTATTTTGATGGGGTATTAGGGCTTTGAATTTTAAGAATTTTACTTGAGAAACTTCATGGAATTTAAGATTTTATTTTGAGGCCTCGATCTTTAAGAATTTATTCTGAGAAGAAGCTCCTTGCGTGAAGTTTTAAATATTTTGTTCTGAGAGTCTACTAGAGAAGAAATTTGGGATTCTGTGGTAGATTTTTAATTTACAATATATTCACAATAAATTATCTTAAGGCATTTCAAGTATCTTAAGCGTGAACATCTAAAATTCTTGGAGGCACTATTCGGGTCTTTGTCAGGGATTTCGAAATAATTTATGTTTAGGTATTTTTGAAGAACTTGTTTCGAGGGACTATTAGAGTCTTAAGTGTGAATTTTGAGGGGCCTATCAAAGCATTGTGTGCGTAACTTTAAATAGTTAATTTGGAGGGACTGTAGAGGTTCTATCAGCCTCCACCATAACGTGGAGTGTACATTAAATGTGTTATTCTGTTTCCAACATCTCGAAATATTCAACGGTGACCCCAGAAAGTATATATATTCTTGATCAGAATATAGAATTTAATATTCGATTTATGCTTGTTCGACATCACTGTACAAATCGCAATATTTCAGATAAAGCTCTGATATTTTGCACAAGCCTAGGTAGTACTCCTAGGATGTTTGATATTGCAAATGGGATATCTCGGTTTTGGTGTTGACCATATATAACAGTACCCCCCATAATTCGGTATTTTGTGGATTTTTGACACTTTTTTCAACTAAATTGTTTGTAATTCGGTATTTATATCCAACCCAACTATGTTGTCAGGGTATAATAGTTTTGTGCAGCCCCAAGAGTTTGTAACGCCAGGATATATTGCGCATCAAATGCCTTTAACACAACGGTCATATACTCGATTCTTCTGTTGATGAAAAAGTTTCCATCAATTGAAAATATTCTGTCCATTATCATTTGTAAACACCATACAGGCCACAATTATGGACCAATATGCACGAAATTGGTACCATTGTTTTCGGTAATGATCCGTTAATATTTATGGTGGTGAAATCGACAAAAACTATTTAATGCTCCACCCAAATACATTTCTAACCAGTGAGCGGAGCAGTATAGTCGGACGGGGCCGACCAAACGATACCCTACACAACTACCACGGAAACCGAACTTTCTGCTTATGTTTAGCATTGAAATATTTAATTCTATATTTATTTAAAAATATATATTTCCATTGAATACAAATTTTGTAATTTTTCACAAAAAGTCAGGAAAATCCCGCTAAATATTGACCGAACTTTTTCAAAACAGGCATACTTTTTCTTGATATAATCCGCAAGGCATATACTTATACGCAAAAAGTGATTATTATTATATATGTCAATTTTTGCGGCCTCTTCGGGAAAATCAGACAAAAATAAAATTTTTTCTGAAATTTCTTATATACAATCTTTTCCAAAAATAAATATGATGACATTATTTTTTCAGAACCAAAAACAAATATTTTTCCTCAATATCTTGTTTTGTTGTCGCTTTGATTTAGAAACCGCTACACGGACTTGTGTGATTTTGATATAATTTGATTCATCATGGTGTTTAGATTATGTATATATTTTTAAATTATTTTTAGGTGTGTGTATGTCATTAATATATTGAAAATATTCATGTAATCTGCTATATATTTTTTATTTTCCTCATATTTCGCGAATATGTGCAACTTTATCGTGATTATTATAATATATTCATATTCTTATTTTACGGAGGAAGTATATATCAACAAATTTTGGTCAATATAATAAACGGCGTAATTTTAAAAATTTTTTTCTCCCATGCCCAAAATTAAAACCTTAGATAACTTTTGCGCGCATCAACCAAAAATTTGATCGCGAACGGTTTCGGAGTCAGAACATTTTTCTCTATATGTGTACCAAAAATCATTGATGTGCCACAAAAACAAAAAAGCTGATTTTTTGAAAATGGAATATTAAAAAATTGGCAATATTGCCCATATATATATATATATATATATATATATTTTTTTTTGGTCCGATTTAAGGTAAATGGTAAACCAAAGTCCCTAAATATCTTTCGATTTGCACGAAATTTTGCACAGCCTAATGATGCAGATCAAGAATGATGTTAAGTTTCCTGAAAATCGGTTCAGATTTTGATATAGCTCCCATATATATTTTCGTCTGATTTAATGTAATTGGTGTACCAAAGTTCCTATATATCTTTCAATTTCGATTAAATTTGGCATAGCGTATCTAATTTAGTCTAGAATGACGTGTGCTAAGTTTCGTGAATATCGGCTCAGATTTAGATATATCTCCTATATATATTTTCTTCCGATTTAATGTAAATGGTGCACCAAAGTCAATATATATCTTTCGATTTGCATGAAATTTGGTGAAGCGTCCTAAATTGAGTCTCCCCAGAAATATAAAATTGTGTTCAATATTTATGAAAATCCAGTATCAGGCGATTTAATGTCCAGCTCCTATATATATATATATATATCTTTACCAAGCCTAGATTTTATGTAAATGGTGCACCAAAGTCCCTCTCTCCTCTGGATTTTCACAAAAAGGGAAATATATAGGTTTGGAAAAATATTAATTTAAAAACTTCATGCATTGCCATTGAAATAATATTCGTTTTCGTTTTAACCCTTTCATTTTACTACGATTTCCTGTTATTTTTCGGTTTGCAAAATATGTTCTAAAGGAAGCCAAAATTTTGTTCTTGTGTGTTATCTACGTTCAAAATATAATTATTTATTGTTGTATACATATATTGAATAACGTTGTAATCCATTTTCCCCGGTAGACGAAGTTTTGGAAATTTTCGTGTTTTGTGGCTTAATTATATTTGTCACGAATGTGTTCGCTTGCGGAAACAGGTCTGACATTCGGTTGAATGGTTAATGTCTATTTAAATGTTTTAGTCTGCAAATACTTGTGTATATGTAAATTATTCGTGGTGTAGCGACTCTTTAATATTAAAGTTTTACTATTTTTCTGAGAAAGTGAGAGGTTTTAATCATAAAAATTATTTCAGAATGAAACAAACAATATTTCCCGCAGTTTTGGTAGCTACCACTTTTGTAGCTATTTTTGGACATTTGAAGTAAAGAAATACGTCATTACTAAAAACGGAACGATATACGTTTCTACTACACATTGAATGCTTAAAATATACAACAAAAACAAAATAGGAAAATTCCTTATCACATCGCAATTATGAAAATTTTTGAAACAAGTTAGTTTTGTAAAGCATAAAGCTCATACACGATACTCATGAAGTACTAAGAATTATGCTTTGGTAGCCCAAAATGTCGAAGATATCTCAGGTTTTCCCATTCCTTGTTCTTCCACAAATGTCATCACAACGTATTTTGGACAAAGACTAAGGGCCTAGAGCTTATAAAGTTCAGTAAACACAAAAACCTCAAGGTGAACGTCAATCTACAACGTCGTGTCTTTGATGATTGTGTTCTTAAAATTTTTACAAATTATGTTGAGGCTCCATCGGGAAATTACCTTGATTAATGAAGCCTATTTCAACCTCTGTGTCTAGTTCAACAAGCCAAATTGCCTAATATGGGACTAGAAACCCAAGCCTCGCATTCTGCAATATATGAATGTATGGTCTTCTTTATGGTACGTCAGAGTCAGAGGACCGTATTTTTTACTGGGGTTGGGCCAATATATACGAATAATGGATTTTTTCTCTTAAAAGTGGATTAATTTTTGTTGGTCAGAGTTTTATTGGTGTAGCCAAAAAGACGGCGCTCAGACACAAGTAGAGAGAGAGGAAACCAGTGTGCGGAAAAATATATCGGACTAGGCCGACTATAATACCCTACACAACTATTCCAAGCCTTTTTATTCCAAGCCTTGGTAACATTACGCAGGATTTTCACTCAATTGACCGATTAGAAATTAACAAATCCTAATAGCCTCTTTCCAGAATCGCGTTTTTCCGGAGAAAAAATTTACTCTATACAATTCAAACTTTGTTATCTTATACAAAAAGTTTCGGTTAATTTGACCCGCTTAATAAAGACAGTTATACGAATTAGTTGGTCAAATCGCCTGACCTGTGTAAAATTTGTGATGATCGAATTATAATTGTGGCCTAGACTAGAAAAATAGACAGAAGTAAAGTTTTCTGTTCATTTCATCCGCTAAATATCATCTGATGATCATCGAAAATTATAGTTGTTGTCTTGACCATAAGCGGAACCTTAAGCAGTATTTCTTAGCCATCAGCGCTACATTTCCACCCTCTAATGTGGTAATGGTAATACTAAATCATATCGGAATACGTAGATCACCTTTAATATTTACGTATAAGGGCAACCACTCCTCTTCAATATACTGTCAACTTTTCTGTTCTATGTTTTTAAGGTGTAAATATATTCCCCATAGATGACAAACTTTTCACGCAAAAGTCAGGGTCCATTTGACCCGCTAAATATTGACGGATCTTTATCAATACAGTCACGGTTATTCTTTAGCCTGATTCCCTTCCTCGTGTAAAATTTCGTGATGTTCGGGTCATAATTGTGATCTCTAGGGCGACAAAAAATTAAGTTTTTGGTCTATTTTAAATAAATATTGAATTTCAACGGATCATTATCTAAAACAATAGAGGTCTTATTTGGTCCGAACCCATCCTACATGCCAGGGACGTACGCAGGGGGCGGCCCGGGGGGCCCAGACCCTTCCCGAAATGAATTTTTTCACCGTAAATTTATGTTTGCAAGAGCGAATTTTTTCATTTTGTACTACCGGGCCCCCACCCAAAAGAAAACCTGTGTACGTTGATGCTACATGCAATATTTCGTGACGATTGTTCCATAACTGTGGTCTGTCGAGTGTTAACGAATTATAATAGACAGACGGACGGACTCACATGTCTAGATCGACTCAGCTAGTTGACATATGAGGATCGGTATACTAAAAGGACAAAGTTATAATATTCTGACCACATAGTTGTGTGGGGTATAGAAACCATAGCTTTATAGTTCTCTACAAAATATGCTTTAAAAATACTTAATAATTCGTAATGCTTCCAATATACTTTAAAATCCACAATAGCAAAAAAATGTTTTTTAAAAATCCACATTTACAGCCTTCGTAATTTTTCCAAAAACTATATTTTAAAAAATCAACACTTTATCCATGTAAATACTCAATAAAAAATCCTTGATAATAGCCTTCGCAATTCTTATTTCCTTCCAATAATGTCCTTTAAATGTTTATACTAATAGTCTTCGTAATTCTACCAAAAATATCCCTTTAATAATCCACACCTAAAGCCTTTGTAGCTCTTCCAAAAATATCCTTTAAAAATCCACGCTTGTAACCTTCGCAATTCTTCAAAATTTCTCATCTAAAAATACACACCTTTTGCCTTTGTAATTCTCTTTTGAAGATTATTCTCCTAGAAATTATCTTCAAAAATCCACGCTTGTAGCCTTCGTAATTCTTCCAGAAATATCCATTAAAAATCGAAATCCTTCCAAAAATATCCTTTAAAAATCCATCGCAGTTCTTCCAAAAATATCATTTAAAAGCCCCTCAGATATCCTTCACAATTCTTCTCAAATTATTGTTTAAAAATTCACCTAAATATCCTTTGCAATTCCCCAAAATCCTTTGTTAATCCACACTTATTGCCATCGTAATTCTTTCAAAAATTTCCATTAAAAATTCACTCTTATAGGTCCCGTAAGTGTTTCAAAAATATCCTTTAACCGTCCACGCTTGAGCCTTAAAAATATCCTTTAAAATCTGCATAAAAATATCCTTTAAAATCTGCCTAAAAATATCTTTTAAAATCCAGGCTTATAGCTATTTGATAATTCGGCTCAAATATCCTTTAAAAATTGAAGGCTTTATATAGCTAATTTAAAAAAAAAATATATTATTCAACATCCACGCTTATAGCTTTTGTAATTCTGCCTAATTTTTCTTCCAATCTTCCAAAAATATCCTTTAAAATCCACTCCTATAAATGTGATAATTATTAACGTATATCCTATTGAGGTCCATATTTATAGCCTTGATAATCCCTCAAAAATATCCTTCTATATTAAATCCTTTATCCATTAAAATTCATCAAAAATTATCGTTTAAAAATTCAATTTTTAATATTGGCATTTCTCCAAAATATATCCTAGGCTTATATATTTCGTATTTCTTCGAAAAATATCAATTTAAAATCGACGCTTTTTTTTGATAATTTTTCACTTATTGAGCTTTTAAATCCCTCTGAAAATATTTTTTGAAAAAAAAATCACGCCTATAGCCTTCATTATTGCTGTCCTTTGAAAAATCCTTTATTGGCGTTTTATCCCATTTCTCCCTAAAATATCCAAAAATCCTCGCTCAATTAAAAATACGTTTTAATTATTTTTGATCTGAAAAGTCCTTTTGAAATTTGTCCACGATTATTGTTTATTTTTAAAAATTTCCATATATAAAACTTAGTATTTCCCATTCACACCAATTATGTGTACAATCTCTGAATTACCACATATGCTATTTTTTCCGGCAACAACAACTACAACAACATTATTTACACAAAAGAATTCAAATAAATAAAAAACTAAAAGAAAAGATTTCCAAGTGTCCTTTCGTCAACTGCAAGTGAATAGTGCTGTTTCTTTGCGTAAACACTTCACTTGCACTATGGCGAGCACATGAGAAGTTCTCGCTGCCTGCTTATTTATTTAGAAAACACACACACACATACAGCAACAAAAACAATATAATACATACACTTTTGAAACCACTCGGCTGCAATAGAGTCTCATGCCAAGCGATAGCATCGCCATTCCACCAGCCAACGGCACTTAAAATGGCATTTAAACCGAACATGGCCAATGCCATTATAAAACTGAATGCCTTTGAATGCTATAAAAAACACGAGGAGAGAGAAAAGGAGAAGGGAGAAGACAGTACGTGAGATTAAGTAGAATAAAAGAAAATAATATATAGAGAAAAAAATAGATGTATTAAAAATTCATTCACCTAATAAATAAAATATATTATGAAAATTCACAAAAAGCGCCATCACCAACCATGGAGATCAAATTGTTGGCCACTAGGGGGCCTTTTCTATTTAGTTTATCTACACCCGTTGGGGGTAAACTACGGTCTCCATGATTACTGCAGTAACTAATAAAAGTATGCCGAGACGAAAAAGAAGCAGTAAAGTAATACATACCTCTAGGCCTAACATAAACATGCCGGTCACAAGAAATACCACAGCTACTCCCAAGACATCTGGCCAGGGTTCGTTGGCTGGTGAATTACGGCCTAAAAGTATGCAAAGAAAAATAAAAATTTATGTAAGTAAGTCGAATGAATGTTTAGTGGGTTACAAAGATTTCAATAAACCCTACACCATTATATATACCCCAAATAAAAAATATTCTTAAATTTAAAAAAAAATATTCTTTAAAAATCCACGCCTTGTCTAAGGTCTTAAAAAAATATTCTTTAAAAATTCACGCCTAGTCTAAGGTCTTAAAAAATATTCTTTAAAAAGCCACGCCTTGTCTAAGGTCTTAAAAAAATATTCTTTAAAAATCCACGCCTTGTCTAAGGTCTTAAAAAAATATTCTTTAAAAATTCACGCCTTGTCTAAGGTCTTAAAAAAATATTCTTTAAAAATTCACGCCTAGTCTAAGGTCTTAAAAAATATTCTTTAAAAAGCCACGCCTTGTCTAAGGTCTTTAAAAAATATTCTTTAAAAATCCACGCCTTGTCTAAGGTCTTAAAAAAAGTATTCTTTAAAAAATCCAAGCCTTGTCTAAGGTCTTAAAAAAATATTCTTTAAAAATCCACACCTTGTCTCAGGTCTTAAAAAAATATTCTTTAAAAATCCACGCCTTGTCTATGGTCTTAAAAAAATATTCTTTAAAAAATCCACGCCTTGTCTAAGGTCTTAAAAAATATTCTTTAAAAATCCACGCCTTGTCTAAGGTCTTAAAAAAATATTCTTTAAAAATCCACGCCTTGTCTAAGGTCTTAAAAAAATATTCTTTAAAAATCCACGCCTTGTCTAAGGTCTTAAAAAAATATTCTTTAAAAATCCACACCTTGTCTCAGGTCTTAAAAAAATATTCTTTAAAAATCCACACCTTGTCTCAGGTCTTAAAAAAATATTCTTTAAAAAATCCACGCCTTGTCTAAGGTCTTAAAAAATATTCTTTAAAAAATCCACGCCTTGTCTAAGGTCTTAAAAAATATTCTTTAAAAAATCCACGCCTTGTCTAAGGTCTTAAAAAATATTCTTTAAAAATCCACGCCTTGTCTAAGGTCTTGAAAAAATATTCTTTAAAAAACCACGCCTTGTCTAAGGTCTTGAAAAAATATTCTCTAAAAAACCACGCCTTGTGTAAGGTCTTAAAAAAATATTCTCTAAAAAACCACGCCTTGTCTAAGGTCTTAAAGAATATTCTTTAAAAATCCACGCCTTGTCTAAGGTCTTAAAAAAATATTCTTTAAAAAATCAACGCCTTGTCTATGGTCTTAAAAAATATTCTTTTAAAAATCCACGCCTTGTCTATGGTCTTAAAAAAATATTCTTAAAAAAATCCACGCCTGTTGTAGGTCCCTGAAAAAATATTCTTTAAAAAATCCACGCCTGTTGTAGGTCTCTGAAAAAATATTCTTTAAAAAATCCACGCTATGTATGGATGCTTGAAAAAATATTCTTTAAAAAATCCACACCTTGTGTAGGTCCCTGAAAAAATATTCTTTAAAAAATCCACACCTTGTGTAGGTCCCTGAAAAAATATTCTTTAAAAAATCCACGCCTTGTGTAGGTCCCTGAAATTATATTCTTTAAAAAATCCACGCCTTGTGTAGGTCCCTGAAATAATATTCTTAAAAAAATCACGCCTTGTGTAGGTCCCTGAAAAAACTATTCTTTAAAAAATCCACGCCTTGTGAAGGTCCCTGAAAAAATATTCTTAAAAAAACACGCTTTTTGTAGGTCCCTGAAAAAATATTCTTTAAAAAATCCACGCCTGTTGTAGGTCCCTGAAAAAATATTCTTTAAAAAATACACGCCAAGGATGGGTACTTGAAAAATTATTCTTTAATAAATCCGCGCCTTGTGTGAATCCTTGAAAAATATTCTTTAAAATATTCGCGCCTTGTGTGAATCCTTGAAAAAGTATTCTTTAAAAAATCCGCGCCTTGTTGGGTCGTTTTCAAAAATATTCTTTAAAACATCTACGTCTTTTGTGGGTCCTTTTCAAAAATATTCTTTAAAAAATCCACGCCTTGTGTGTATCCTTTTCAAAAATATTCTTAAAAAAAATCACGCCTTGTATGGATCCCTTTCAAAAATATTCTTTAAAAAATCCACGCCTTGTGTGGATCCTATAAAAAAATATTCCGTCCTTTACCTCTGATGGTCATTGAAAAAATATTCCCTCCATTTGTCCTTTGTCCATTGTCCTTCTCAAATATTCAGACACGGTGTAGGGTACATTATTGCCTTTAATTCCTTTGAATATTTTTGGGGCATCATCTCCCTACTTATCTCCTACTTAAATGCATATGTGTGTTTGTATGTGTTTTTTTGTACTTACCCAAAATCATAATACGTGCCAAACCACCAGTCATGGCATCCAAACACATGCTCAGCGTTCGCGTCAGTGCCCCACAGGCACACAACACCGACAACATTTCCATCCATGTGGCCAGAAAAAGGCAACCGAAGTCAAATTTATTACTGGCCCGTATATAAGGCATTTGTAGGGATCTCAGACTTGTTTTGCAGCGTGCTGGAGGCGTTTTAGAAAAATTGGAAGAGAGTGAAAAACAAACCATAATAATTTAAGTATGTGTAATCGCGCAGTGGTTACAAAAAATTCATGTAAACATTAAGTAATTGAGGTGGTTTTTCTTTTTTGGTATGGGAGTGTGGGAGATGGGTGGGTAGGTAGGTTAGCAGACATGACTAGATTTTTTTTGGATATTTACCCGCCAAAGCTGCATACATTGTAGCGGCCATGGTGGCCAAAACCACACATGGTGCTGTCGTTTCATTGTAGGCAATCAAATAGACTAAAACGGCAGAACCCAATGTCAGACGAGCACCATTGCCATTTGAGAATGAGTCCATAAGAAAACTAGAAGAAGAAGGAAAGAACAAAATGTAACACACTATAAATTTATTTTCTTGTTTATGTATCAATAAAAATGGAACCGAAAAAATGCTTAGTCATTTTTGTGTAAGAGGACATGAAAAAATTCTCCCAAAAACTAATGGCAGAACTATGATATCATCAAAGAATAATCAGATATTGGAGAAAAAAGGCTAACACAATAATTCATAATAAAGACTCTTTACGGAAAATCGGTCTTTATTTGCGATCTGATGGTCAGGAGATCTAAATAGTCGTGCAGAATGGCAGGGAGTCTTTAAAGAAGAGCTGCATTTCGAGAGTCTTCATAGGCGAATTGAAGCCAGGAGAATTTTTCTAAAAGAGCAGAAGTTCAGGGAATCGTTGTAGACGAGCTGAAACTTAGGAATCCTCAAGGGGCCCCTAAAGGCGAGATGGACCTTTGGAAGTCGTGGTAGGGAAGCTTAATTTAAGAAAGTCTTTTTAGGCTGAATGGTGTCATTATAGACTTGCTTAAACTCAGAGAGTATTTATTGGAGAGCTGTAAACTGAATATCAGGGAGCCTTTATAGGGAGTGTTTATAGGGGAGATGAGGCCTTTATAAGGGAGATGAATCTGTATGGACGTGCTGAAGCTCAGGGAGTCTTTATAGGCGAGCTGAAGCTCAGAAAATCTTTGTAAATGAACTGGAGCTCAGAGAATCTTTATAGGCGACCTGAAGCTCAGGGAGTCTTTATAGACGAGCTGATAGGCAGGGAGTTTTTATAGACGAGCTGGACCTCTGGGAGTTTTTTTAGACGACCTGAAGCTCAATGAGTATTTATAGACGGGATGGCGCTCAGGCAGTCTTTATAGACGTGTAACTCAGGGAGTCTTTATAGGCTTGCTATAGCTTAAAACCCGGCGCTTAAAGCTCCAAATATCCTTGATTATTCTTTAAATAATCCAGAACTTGTCTATAAAAATCCAGACCTTCTTTAAAAACTCCAGACCTTAAAAAACATTGTTTAAATAATCCAGGCCTTGTCTAAGGCCACCAAAAAATATTCTTTAAAAAGAAACAGAACTTGTCTAAGGTCTAGAAAAATATTATTAAAAAAATCCAGACCTTGTCAAAAACCCTCTAAAAATTTTCTTAAAAGAAAATCCAGGCCTTGAAAAATTTTTCTCTAAAAAATTCACGCCTTGTCTAAGGTCTTGATGAGCTGCAGCTTAAAAACCAGGCTTGAAAGACTGAATGTCCTTGAAAAATATTTTTTAAAAAAAGCTTTGTCTAAGGTCTTGACGAGCTGTAGCTTAAAAAAACAGTTTTAAAGGCCTGAATGTCCTTGAAAAATATTCTTTAAAAAATCCACGCCTTGTCTAAGACCTTGACGAGCTGTATTTTAAAAAACAGGTTGAAAGTTCTGAATGTCCTTAAAAAATATTCTTTAAAAATCCACGCTTAAAGGTCTAAATGTCTTTAAAAATCCACGCTTAAAGGTCTAAATGTCTTTAAAAATCCACGCTTAAAGGTCTAAATGTCTTTAAAAATCCACGCTTAAAGGTCTAAATGTCTTTAAAAATCCACGCTTAAAGGTCTAAATGTCTTTAAAAATCCACGCTTAAAGGTCTAAATGTCTTTAAAAATCCACGCTTAAAGGTCTAAATGTCTTTAAAAATCCACGCTTAAAGGTCTAAATGTCTTTAAAAATCCACGCTTAAAGGTCTAAATGTCTTTAAAAATCCACGCTTAAAGGTCTAAATGTCTTTAAAAATCCACGCTTAAAGGTCTAAATGTCTTTAAAAATCCACGCTTAAAGGTCTAAATGTCTTTAAAAATCCACGCTTAAAGGTCTAAATGTCTTTAAAAATCCACGCTTAAAGGTCTAAATGTCTTTAAAAATCCACGCTTAAAGGTCTAAATGTCTTTAAAAATCCACGCTTAAAGGTCTAAATGTCTTTAAAAATCCACGCTTAAAGGTCTAAATGTCTTTAAAAATCCACGCTTAAAGGTCTAAATGTCTTTAAAAATCCACGCTTAAAGGTCTAAATGTCTTTAAAAATCCACGCTTAAAAATCCACGGTCTAAATGTCTTTAAAAATCCACGCTTAAATGTCTAATGTCTTTATAAATCCACGCTTAAAGGTCTAAATGTCTTTAAAAATCCACGCTTAAAGGTCTAAATGTCTTTAAAAATCCACGCTTAAAGGTCTAAATGTCTTTAAAAATCCACGCTTAAAGGTCTAAATGTCTTTAAAAATCCACGCTTAAAGGTCTAAATGTCTTTAAAAATCCACGCTTAAAGGTCTAAATGTCTTTAAAAATCCACGCTTAAAGGTCTAAATGTCTTTAAAAATCCACGCTTAAAGGTCTAAATGTCTTTAAAAATCCACGCTTAAAGGTCTAAATGTCTTTAAAAATCCACGCTTAAAGGTCTAAATGTCTTTAAAAATCCACGCTTAAAGGTCTAAATGTCTTTAAAAATCCACGCTTAAAGGTCTAAATGTCTTTAAAAATCCACGCTTAAAGGTCTAAATGTCTTTAAAAATCCACGCTTAAAGGTCTAAATGTCTTTAAAAATCCACGCTTAAAGGTCTAAATGTCTTTAAAAATCCACGCTTAAAGGTCTAAATGTCTTTAAAAATCCACGCTTAAAGGTCTAAATGTCTTTAAAAATCCACGCTTAAAGGTCTAAATGTCTTTAAAAATCCACGCTTAAAGGTCTAAATGTCTTTAAAAATCCACGCTTAAAGGTCTAAATGTCTTTAAAAATCCACGCTTAAAGGTCTAAATGTCTTTAAAAATCCACGCTTAAAGGTCTAAATGTCTTTAAAAATCCACGCTTAAAGGTCTAAATGTCTTTAAAAATCCACGCTTATAGGTCTAAATGTCTTTAAAAATCCACGCTTAAAGGTCTAAATGTCTTTAAAAATCCACGCTTAAAGGTCTAAATGTCCTTAAAAATTCACGCTTAAAGGTCTAAATGTCCTTAAAAATTCACGCTTAAAGGTCTAAATGTCTTTAAAAATCCACGCTTAAAGGTCTAAATGTCCTTAAAAATTCACGCTTAAAAGTCTGAATGTCCTTGATACAATTTTCTTTAAAAAATGCACTCTTAAAGGTCTAAATGTCCTTAAAAATCCACGCTTAAAGGTCTGAATGTCCTTGATACAATTTTCTTTAAAAAATCCACGCTTGTAGGTCTGAATGTCCTTGAAGAATATTTTTTTTATAATCCACGCCTAGAAGTCTGAATGTCCTTGAAGAATATTTTTTTTTTATAATCCACGCCTAAAAGTCTGAATTTCCTTGAAGAATATTTTTTTTATAATCCACGCCTAAAAGTCTGAATGTCCTTGAAGAATATGTTTTTATAATCCACGCTTAAAAGTCTGAATGTCCTTGAAAAAATATTCTTTAAGAAATTCACGCTTAAAGGTGTGAATGTCCTTGAAAAAATATTCTTTAAAAAATCCACGCTTAAAGGTGTGAATGTCCTTGAAAAATATTTTTTAAAAAAATCCACGCTTAAAGGTCTGAATGTCCTTGAAAAATATTCTTTAAAAAATCCACGCTTAAAGGTCTGAATGTCGTTTAAAAAAATATTCGTTAAAAAAATCCATGATTAAAGGTCGGAGGCTCCTTGAACAAAAAGTCTTTAGAAAATCCAAAAAAAAAAAAATTCTTTAAATGCTCTTGAAAAAATTTGTCAAGCTTATAGGTTGGAATATCCTTGAAAAATAGTTTAAAAAGTACAACCATATAGGGCTGAATATCCTTGAACAAATCATGCTAATAAATCCAGGTTTATAGCTCGGATTATCCTTAAAAATTTCAGGTTTATAGCTTTGAATATCTTTCAAAGAATATGATTTCAAAAATCCACGCTTATAGCACTAAATATCCTTTTTTTATAGAAAAAAATATTAAACTTTTATAGACTGTCTTAATGTCCACTATATATCACCTCTATTAAATCTCCTTATAAAGCCTAAATAAATTATTTGCTTCTTCTTCTTTTTCGTCCTGGCATATTAACATTCTTGCCAAAACCAGATTTCGTAATTGTTTGTGAAAGTCCTTAGCAAAAAAAGAGAGAAGAATGTTTATTCGCTGGCATCATAAAAAATTTATAATTTTTTTTTGCTTGTCAAAAAATGTTTACATAGTTTTGAATTGCCGATGTTGTTGTTGGTCTTCATTTTCGTTGCTCCAGCCGCGTTGTCACCGTCATCGCCATCATCATCATCAGTTTAGTGGTGTTGGTTTAAACGAGAATAAGGACATTATTTTATGTGCACATGCCGTGAACATTGTTGAATGGCTGATGGTAGGTCCGTCCGTCTGTCTGTCCGCCTGTTTGTTTGCTTAGTTAAATATGTACATTCGCATATATGTAGGTGGTGGTGTATGAGTGTGCGTGCCTGTGTGTGTTCGACATCCGGTTTGTTTATTCTTTCTACAACAATCTGTGTAAATGTTCATTCCCTCACAATATCCTGTTAACAAAGTTATGTCTCGGTGTACGAGAGGAAGTGAAGGAAGGTTTGTGTGTGTGTGTGGGTATATTTCTGTGTGGGTGTTTGTGTGTTGTCTTATTTAAATGTTTGATTTGGCGCCATTTGTTGTCATTTCGTGAATAACTTTGTAGCTTTTATGTGTGTGTGTGCGTTCGTGCATTCCTAATGTATGGACTCGTGGGTAGTAGATTTCTTTTACGATTGTTGTTTTGCTTGAGTATCCCTCTTGGTGTGAGTGTGTGTGTGTGTGGGTGTTCCTGCCTACATGTTTCGTTGCCATTGTTGTTAATTGCCACTGTTTTATGGGTGTCAACAGTGTAAACCCTTTTGTCTTCGAATGGACACGCATTAATTTAGCCTCATTAAAGCACTTCTAATTGCTGCAGTCTCTTTTCTATCTGTCTCTATCTGGCAGAGATTAGTTGTGATATCATTTACATGATTGTGATTACGTTTCCTGTTTGTCTATGTCTACATTAACAACTATACAAACGGTTAA